TAGGGCCTAAACACCCCCACATTTCTAAATATCCATAAACTTTTTCCAAAAGTTTTAGTTCTCATTTTTTAATTCATTTGTCAAAGTTGGCACTTTCCAACTTTCATTCACAGAGCATTTAAATGCTTTGAAATCCTTATTTTTATTTTATTAATAAGGATACACAATGAAAAAAAAATACATTTCTTCTTTAGTTAGAGAAATGTATTGGATCACCAACATGATTTAATTACAAATAATTGTATTTCTTTCTCTCAAGAAAGCACAAAAAGAGAAAACTTCTCAAGATACTTAAATCTTGTCAACAAATAAGATAAGAAGATTTCTTTCTTTCCTCAAAAAGAGAAAACTCGTCAAGATACTTAAATCTTATCAATAAACAAGAGAATATTAATCTCTTCAAATAGTGGTTGATCTCCACTATTCAACATTAAAGTTATATATATATATATATATATATATATATATATATATATATATATATATATATATATATATATATATATATATATATATATATTCTAATCTTAATCATTCATAATTTAGGATTGTATGTCCTAAACATGCTGTTCAAAATTCAGCCAAATTCAATGATTTAATTCTACAAAACGAGCTCTTAAGTATATAGCTCGAATTTTCTTTCAACAAAACATCCATTGTTGTTTAAAATTATTTTGGATGTTTGCAAGATCAAATTTCGATCTCATCCATTCACATTGTAGATCATCATCTTGCAAATGTGATATCAATTCTAATCGAAACAATGGTTCGATCTTCTTTTATGTTCTTGAGACAAGAACTACTCATGTGCTCTCATGAATTGAGTCTCTTTCTTTCTATTTCATTTCAATCATGCTTTTAATTGCAGTACTGTAGTATGATTCATATATAAAACATATGTACATCAATATTATAATAAACATAATATTTGACATGTGACCACGACTTTCATACTAGTTGATCATAGAAAGAAACAATACTAGTTGATCATAGAAAGAAACAATAGATCAAGCATACTTTATCAACATATACATAGTATACACACGACTATATAATAACATCAAGTTTATATAGTATTTCATGGCATAAATTAATTCATGTCCAACATAGTTGATTTATATAAATATATAGCACGTAATCAATATGTGTCCAAGCAATTACAAAATGCTAAGGAATTGGTATGGCTTACGGAAATAATAATATGTATAATAATATTCCTCTTACTAAGTAACTCATACTTAATATACGAGACAAGTCTAATCGTTCATAGACAATAACAAAAACGTTAATAAGATCACGTACTCACAAATTTCATATAACATATTTGAAAATCAATCAATTGGACGGTTCCACGTCAAATGAAAATTGGGAGAAAGTTAATCCCGTATCAAAACTATATGCAATTTATGTAAATAAAAATTGCATTTTCATGAGAAATGTCATGTAGTATAGCACTTTTCATGCGGTTTATGATAAACTTATTCAAATAATTAGCACATACGCTATCACTTTATTGTATTTGGGTTAAAATTAGTTATATCATTAATGTAGATACACAAACATAATGAATATTCATTAAAGCATATATATTGTATATGGTTTACCATGCTTTCCACATATGAAAATTAAACTATCATGCAATAATTAACCATTATATCATATAACATTATCAATTTATTTCACAAATAGATATCTTATAATCAAAAAGCGTACCCGATAAATTATATGTTCGTCAATTCAAATTTTGTGAGTAGCACCAAATCGTGTCAATATTATGGCAATGCTGAATGATTTAATCATATCTCTTCCGTCTGAAGTCCGATTTTGTTGATTCAATATGATCCGAATAGACAACAAAATTTTCTACAACTTTTATCTTTTACGTTTTCTGAGATTAGGACTGGATCATGATCAAAATAAGCCTCGAAGTCGGAATAGGTGTGCTGTAAATTTGCACCTACAGTGGAACCACAAAAAAAATATTGAATAATATTCATGAATCGAAAATAATATAAAACCTCATTATTGATCTTCGATTCAGTCTCCTTTCACCAAAATTTCATGTATTGGACATTGGTGAGGCGTTAATATGCGACAAGTTGCATTGGTCACGAACGGTTATATTTTTCATGAAAAGGTGCATCGGCAGTTCTGCCACCCTTTCGTGTTTTCATCATAACTTCTTCGTACAATCTCCGATTGTGACAATTTAACATGTTCTGGAAAGCTAACTTGATTATCTACAACTTCTGTGAAATGTTAATTTGCTATATTCGGACTTTAACACCTTCGAAAATGGGCAGGAATGTGGACTTCATGTTCTGTCCGAAAATGAACTTTCTCCAATTGTATTTTGTAACTTCTTGTTTTTTTTTTTTTTTTTTTTTTTTTTTTTTTTGTGGCAGACTATCTTCTTCTCCATCTCGTTTACCAACGTGTGCAGAAAACACAATTTACTAAATCACAAAAATATTGTCTTAAGATTGTTGTTCCCGATACATAAAACGAAATACGAAAAGATTAGCCGAGGCGAGAAAACTCTTTCCTTAAGACAATATTGCCCCGCTACGGTGCTTAAGGTTATTTGGCAAGTGTCTCCCAAGATACAACGGCTAACTAGGCATATGAGCACTCAAAATCCCGAGTACAACGAACGTTACTTTGTGTCTCAAACTCTCGAATCTAATACGGAAGAAAATATTCTACGGAGAATATTTCCGGGCTTAAAGAAGGAAGAATTCTATAGAACGAAATTATAGAATTGAATTGATTTTTTATGTTAATATAAAATCAAACATGTGGAGTTTCTATTTATAAGTTTCCAATGGTTGTGATTAATGAACACAGCCTTTAGGAAATTAAACAAGTGAAGAGGTGTGGCCACACCTCTTCATATTGTCACACCTATTTGATCAAATAGGTGCCTAAAAACCTTTTTATAATTTCCATTCAAAAATTATTTTATTTTATAAAATAAAATTCCCAACACAATTTCGGGCTGAGTTTTATGAATGATGTGTAGTAAAAGTTTGGTTAAATTTTCCATTTAGTTCTAATAATTTTTGTTACTAATGATGCATATCTTAAACCCCTATATTTTATTTCAGTATTGTGATTTCCGAATAACCTATTAAAGTCACTTTATTTTTTTAATCGTGGTGCACATTAGTATTTGTACCATTAGTATCACTAATTCACTATTATATTTGTTATAATTATTTCGTGCAAATTAATTATATATTTGTGTCCGATGAATTCCAGATTCAGTTTTGAATACCGTTTTACTGTTTTACGAAGAGTTGCAACAGTTAATGAAACAGTAATAAAAAGACACAAATTTTAAAGTGGTTCGGATACAATTGTACCCTACATCCACGGGGACCTGCAAATGAAATTTACTAATCTTTAGTTTTACGAATACAATAATAGGACTTAATCGAAATGCAAAGACTCCCTCTTTGTCGACGCCGTTCTTGTATACTACGCTGAATTATCAATCTTCACTTTGCAGCACGTCCTTGTTCCGCACGGTTGAAATTCCTTCAACGCTGAGTCCCTCAGTCGGTGGATCGACCTCCTCCCGAGATCTTCTGAGTTCTCCTCCCGAAGAACCGATCTTCTTTTCGCGTGAAAGAAGCAAGTCCTTTTTCTGTATTTTTCTTCTCGAATTAAGATCAAAAAGTCTGGAGGAGCAACGTAAGAGCAGAAAATAATTTTTCTCTCAAATAAAAGGGACGGCCTTCAAAGACGTTGATCCTCCTCTTTAAATACATCCTTAGTTGAATAGTAGAGCCCTACACAAGATTAGAGCCCATTAGGTTAGTTTTAATCTCACGTAAGGAAAAGAGAGTTGTGTAACAAGGAAAGTCTTTGTCAAGAAAATTCCTTGTTAACAAAACACTTAGGCAATTAAATAAATTAATGACAAAATAAGAGTTTAAAGAACTAAGGAAACTTCGCTAGTTTTTATACACGTTTTTCACAAACGTGCTGAAAAACCGAAATTAGAATCCTCTCGGATTCTAACAATCTCCGCCTTTGTCATCTATTTATTATAATCAAGTCCTCCCCCTTAATCATATACCTGACAAAACATTAAACTGCATAATAGAGTAACTGTTAGAACGGTTCAAACAAAACATCAGTCAAAAAGAGAACAGAGTTAAGCCTATCAGACTATTACATGCCATTGTTCAGAAAATAACTCCAACAATAAAACAAAAACAAAAAAAATTAGTCCAGAATATCCTCAGCATCAACGAACAGCTCCCCTTCATCATCCGTATCAGCCTCAGTTGTTGTATCATCAACTATTGGAGCAGTTGGAACAATAGTTGGATCAGCAGATCCAGCAGCTGCAGCAACTCCCCCTGTACGAGATACCTCCTGATGTGATGCTTCGTTGCCAACTCCCCCTGAAAAATCTCCCCCTTTCTGAGCAAGGGCAATAAAATAGTCGAGTTTTTTCTTCAGTTCTGCTGTACGAGCTACCACAGCCTCATATTCAGACGAGAGGTGAGAGATAAGATCCGACAGTAAGGGAGCGGTAGTGGAAGGAGCAGCCTGGCAACCGGAAGAAGGAGATGGACGGCACGGCAAGTCATCCACGCGGGGCACACGACGAGGATCGGACTGAGGGTCCACTATCTTCGAAGAGACAGAGAAAGGAAGTGGGAGAGACGAGACTGCGTGCTTTGGATTTCTGACGTAGCCTTGGTCACTCAGCAAACGGTAGATCAATGAAGGAAACGGGAGAGAGTAGGCGGTAGACTGAGAGTCGGCTTCGGCCACGATCTCTTCAAAAATAAATTGCGCGAGATCACATGGGATTCCACTGCCAATGTAGTACAGTAGAAGTCCCCTTCTTCGAGTCAGAGTACCGTGGTGAGCAGTGGGGAACCAATTTGTAGTTCCAATACCAAATAAGAGACGGTACTTCATGGTAAGATCAGTCGTCTTGAGAGGCCATGTGCTCAGCTTGTCTCCAGTAAGGGTGGATATCAGGTCAGGGTCAGCAACAGACGCCACCGGGTTTGATGCGCTCGGAGAAAGAACCGAGAATTAAAAGCATCGACAGCAGAGATAGGCACCACGGTATCCGGTGCAGAGTTACCAGCGGTGGTGGGATTAACAGAAGGCGAGGCAGAGTAAGTAGCGTGTCGACGGGAGCGACGGGGTGGCGGTGGTATGGGGGCAGGGCCCTTGCCTTTGTTGACCGACGAGGATGGCGGTGGTGGGGGTGAGGCCGGTGCGGTTGGTGACTGCGGCGGCGATGGCGGTTCAACCAGTGGTGGAGACGATGGAGCAGCCGGCGGGTGTGGCAGCGAAGGAGAAGGTGGAGAATAGGTGAATGGTGACGGCGGCGTCACTGGCGGCGACGGCGGTGGAGAAACCCTATGAACCAAAATGATTGGCAGATTGCCAAAATTGTCAGCGGAGGCGGCCGTGAGGAGGAGTGGGGGCTCCCAAAATGCGAGAGGCACGGCATCCGACGGCTCCCCGAATGCAGATCGGTGACCAGAACGGCGAGGCGGCACTGAATTCGCCGGAGATGTGGTCGCTGGTCGAGAGGGTCGTCGTTTGGACGAAGAAGACGATCCACCGGTGCATTTTCGTTTCCCCATAACTGTGCTCTTGGGTTCCTTTGATTTGAGTGCAGATTTGAGGATTTGCTGCAAAGGTAGAAGAGGAAGCAACGGAGCGGTAGGGAAGAAAAAGAAAGACTGAAAGAAAACGTGAAGGGGTAGAATACATGGATGACTGTTGGTCTTCTCATGGGTAATTTAGCAATTAGGAAGAATATAGTGAAAAAATTGCAAATATTATTCTGCCAACAATGAGTTCAATTAATGAAAACCAAATTCAGATAAATCAACTCTCAACCTTTACATATGAAGCCCAACACAGTTCAAGAAAACTTCGAGAAGAAAAAAAAAATGCTCAGAAAAGTGGGTTACTCTGGAAAAATTGATTACCGCCAAAAATACGAACCCACCCCGGTTTTTTTTTTTTTTTTTTTTTTTTTTTTTTATAATGCCTAACATGCATAATTGAATTACTAGGACGAAAAAAATAAACGTGAGTGAATGAAAGAAAATATGAGTGAGTAAACACGAGTGAATAGGATACTATTAGGACTATCAAACCCATGGGGTTTATCTTCACTTTTAACAAAAAGCAAGCTCCAAAAGACAAACTAAAGAGACTAACAATAAATTTAGTACCCTCAAATCAAGCACAAAAACGCTCTTATTAGGTAGCATACACACCCTACTAATGGTAGCTTTTTCATGAAGGGCAGAGCAATTTAAATAGCGAGATAGTTGTGGTCGTGCAATGTGTAGTCCCCTCGGCTTTCTAATTGAGCCGTGTAGCGAGTGTTCGGTCATGTGGTTTACCGGCTCGACTCAAAAAGGCTTCGAACTATTCACTGATCGTATAAAAAAATTTACAACGGTCGTGCAATGTGTAGTCCCCTGGGCTTTCTAATTGAGCCCTGTAGCGAGCTTTCGGCCACGTGATTTACTGACTCAACTCAAAAAGGCTTCGAACTATTCACAGACCAATTGATTATATATAGTAAAACAAAAATTCAAGAGTAGCTTTCACTCATTTGGAGGGGCAGATTTTCCTTATGAAAGTGTTAAACCATGACGAGACTGTGAAGAGTAGTAAATAAGCTAAAGTCTCTATAGCAATCATTCGGGGATTGATGAAGTTTTACCTCACAAAATTCGAAAGTACTGATAGTATCCAATACACAAGAGTTTTCATCACATGCAATATGTCTAATGCATAACCTAGATGAATAAAATGCAGTATGTGTGATGTGTCCCTAAAGCCTTAAAAGTTGCAAGTCTGGACACAGACTGTTGCAACAGTTTATGCAACTACACAGGTCAAACAATACAGATTCCAAGCGAATTTCGCAAGGAATCGAACCTTTGTGCATCTAGGGGTTTAGTAAAGATGTCAGCAAGTTGTTTTTCTGTTGTGACATACTCTAATGAGACAGTTCCTTCCTCTACCAGATTTCTAATGAAATGGTAACGGATTTCAATATGCTTAGTTCTAGAGTGCTGTACTGGATTCTTGGAAATATTAATTGCACTCATATTGTCACAATAAATATGCAATAAATCTTGACTAATACCATAATCACATACCATTTGTTTCATCCATAAGAGTTGAGCACAACAACTACCTGCGGCGATATATTCCGATTTGGCAGTGGAAAGTGAGATACTATTCTGTTTTTTGCTGTACCAGGAGACGAGATTGTTCCCAAGATAGAAGCATCCTCCCGTTGTGCTTTTTCGATCATCTGCATCACCTGCCCAATCAGCATCGCTAAAGCCTGCAAGTGTTGTGTTAGTATCCATGGAATACCAAATACCGAAATCAATTGTTCCACTTACATAGCGAATGATTCTTTTGACAGCACTTAGGTGACATTCCTTGGGATTTGATTGATACCTGGCACAAACTCCAACACTATAGCATATATCTGGTCGGCTAGAAGTAAGATACAGTAGACAACCTATCATGCTTCGATATAGTGTGGGATCTACAGAAGTTAAATCCAATTGTCGCGACAGTTTGTCGTTCGTTCCCATAGGAGTTCTAACAGTTTTTGCAGATTCCAAGCCAAAGCGTTTGACAAGATTTTTAGCATACTTGGATTGAGTTATGAAAATTCCATCACTCATTTGTTTAACTTGAAGACCTAAAAAATACGTAAGTTCCCCAACCATGCTCATAGCAAATTCACTAGACATTTGTTTAATCAATTCTTCAATTTTTGTTTGAGAGGTAGACCCAAAAACGATATCATCAACATAAATTTGAGCAATCAGGATGTCTCCCTTTGATTTTTTAAAGAAAAGAGTTCGATCAACGCTACCCCTAGTGTATCCCTTGTGCGATAAAAATTCTGTAAGACGCTCATACCAAGCTCGAGGCGCTTGTTTGAGACCATACAGGGCTTTGTTTAATTTGAAAACGTGCTTGGGATGATGTGGATCTTGAAATCCTTTGGGTTGTTCAACATAAACTTCTTCTTTTAAAATACCATTTAAGAAGGCGCTTTTGACATCCATTTGAAAAAGTTTGATTTTTAGAAAACAAGCAATAGCAAAAAGTAATCGAACAGATTCTAGTCTAGCAACAGGAGCAAAAGTTTCATCGAAGTCAATGCCTTCGATTTGACTATAGCCTTGTGCAACTAATCTAGCTTTGTTACGAACGATATTTCCATGTTCATCAGACTTATTTTTAAAAACCCATTTTGTACCTATTATATTGACATTATCAGGCCAAAACCCAAACATCATTTCTAACGAATTGTTCCAGTTCCTCATGCATGGCTTGAATCCAATATTCATCTAATAAGGCTTCTTTGACGTTTTTGGGTTCTATAGTCGAAGTGAAACAAACATACCTTGCCATTTCCTTGTAGTTCACCTTGAGTTTACCTCTGGTTTGAATTCCTTCTTCTACCTGTCCAATGACTTGATCCGCTGGATGATTCTTCTTGACCCTTTTTGAGGGTTCCTTGTGAGTTTGGTCATCCAATTCGAGAGGGCTGACTTCAGCTTCATCTCCTGTTTCAGAATTAACGTCACTTTCTTCTGAGATGGTAGAGGCTACATCAACTGTTGGAACTGTTGGTGTGACACTGGAGCTGTTGTCTGATTTCTTTGTTGGTTCCTCTTCCAGTGGTCCTGCATTATTGTTAAAATCATCAAATTGAACGTATGCAGATTCCATCACAGATTTTGTTCTAAGATTGAAAATTCTATATGCATGGCTATTTTGAGAGTAGCCTAAGAATATTCCTTGATCACTTCTAGCATCGAATTTCCCAAGCTGTTCTCTGTCATTCAAAATATAACAAGTACAACCAAAAGTACGAAGATAGCTGAGTTGAGGTTTTTTACCTTTCCAAATTTCGTAGGGAGTTTTAGTGGTACCTGGTCGAAGATAGACTCGATTTATAATATAACATGCAGTGTTAACTGCTTCAGCCCAAAAACGAGGAGCGATCTCCTTTGCGTTCATCATGACCCTGGCCATTTCTTGCAGAGTGCGATTTTTGCGTTCAACCACTCCATTTTGTTGAGGCGTTTTAGGTGCGGAGAATTCATGAGATATTCCATATTTTTCACAAAAGTTAGTAAATAAAGAATTTTCAAATTCTCTCCCATGATCGCTCCTAATTCTCACCATGTCACGCTGTTGCTCAACACTCACCTTTTTGCACAGTTTTTTAAACACATCAAAAGAATCAGATTTTTCCCTAATAAATTATACCCAAGTAAATCTGGAAAAATCATCTACACACACAAATATGTACCGTTTTCCACCTATACTTTCTATTTGCATTGGTCCCATAAGGTCCATGTGTAGGAGTTCTAGGTTTCTACTGGTTCTCACATTAGCTAAAGCCCTGTGTGAACTTTTGATTTGTTTTCCCATTTTGCAATCACCACATATTCTTCCTACTTCTTTAGTGAGTTTGGGCAAACATCTAACATACTCACTGCTGGAAATTTTTATGAGATTATCAAAGTTCAGATGTCCTAACCTTTTGTGCCAAAGCACTGTAGAGTCTGACAGACTGTTGAAACAGTTCATACCGGCAGATACAAGAATATAGCAGTTGTCAGATGATCGAGTTCCTTGAATAACACAATTCTCGTCTTTGTCTAAGACTCGACATGCGAATTTGTTGAATCTGACTTCAAATCTTGATCACATAACTGGCTGATGCTTATCAGATTTGACGTGAGTCCTTCTACAAGTAGTACATTCTTCAGCTTTGGCAGATTCTCATGATTTAGCGATCCTTTCCCTAGCACTTCACCCTTTTTCCCGTTTCCAAAGGTAACAGCTCCACCGGTGATTTGTTGATAGTTTTTCAGAAATTCTTTAACACCGGTCATATGTCGTGAACAACCACTGTCAAAATACCAATCATTAGCAGTACTTGCTTTTAAAGAAGTAATAGCAGATAAACATTTAAACGTGGACTTTTCAACCCAAATTTTTTGCTGAGGCCTATTTGAGATATCAATTTTATTTTTGGGTTTTTGAGAGGGTGCAGGAAAGTGACCAGCCCTAACAGAGTATAGAGAACGAGCCACTAGTTTTTTCACAAGCTTCAAGTATTTGAAACATCTAGGGCGTATGTGACCTGGATTTTGACAGAAAAAACAAATGGGAATAAACCTTTTCTTCGAATGGAGCGTCGTTGCTTCAACAGTTGCAACTGTTTGTGCAACAGAAGTTTGTTTAACAAAGTTGATTTTTCTGTTTTGATCTTCTTTTTGTTTTAGATCAACTTTGGGCAGCTGACTTGCTCCTATGCCAAGACGATTATAGTTCGGCTTATTGTTATTTAGATGTTCATCTAAATTACCTTTACCCATGTTCAATTTTGCAATTGCTTCTTGAGTTTGAGTAAGTTTAGCATGCAACTGATTTTTCTCTTGATCACTAGATAGGACCCTTTCCTCAATAGTAGAGATTCTTACCTTTAGTGCCTTGTTCTCCTCTAAAAGCACAAACTTCTCCTTTTCAAGGAAGTTATTTGCCTTAACAACGTCAAGCCATTTTTGATACATTTTTTCATATACCTCCTTTACTTCCTCCAAGGTTGGTTCTTCCTCATCACTGCTGCTGTCCAGATCCTCTGCAAAAAAAAGAATTTGTGTTTAGATTTTTGTCATTATCAGAACACATATTTTCATACCTGGATTCTGTTTCACAGTCTGTTGCAACAGTTGTTTCTGAACTGTTCAGAGGAACCTTGCTGCTGAATGCTACAAAATTAGTGACTTGATCGTTGTTTCCTTGGTCATCATCAGAGTCTTCTTCATCACTCCAAACAGTAGTAAGTGACATTCTTTTCTTTTTCTTCAGGGTGTTTGCGCATTCTGATTGAATGTGACCAAAGCCTTCGCACTCTCGGCATTGTATTCTTCTCGGTTTTGACTCCTCTGGGTTATCTTGATTTGAATTTCTCCTGGGATTTTGAAAATTCACAGGTTTCCCTGCGTTGGAAGGATTTCCCCTTTTTCCGATCTTTTTGAGAGATTTCCCAAAGTTTTTTGATAGTAGTGCCAAGGATTCTTCAACCGTCTGCTCATCTTCTTGAGTTGAAGAACTCTGAGATGTTCCATATGAAGCTTCTGCTTGAAAGGCTATCTTCTTATCTCTAGGCTTTTCACGATAATTTTCACCATGATTGAGTTCTTGAGCTAGAAGTTTTCCCATGAGTTCGTCTAGTTTGAGCGTGTCAACATCTCTGACTTCTTCAATCGCAGCAATTCGGTAAGCAAATCTTTCAGGTAATGAGCGCATTGCTTTTCTCACTAATTTGCTTTCTGAGTAAGGTTCACCGAGTGCGTATGATTCGTTGGAGATATCGCATAGTTTAGCATGGAAGTCAGTGATCGTCTCATTTTCCTCCATCTTTAAACTTTCAAATTTGGTGGCCAGCATCTGTAACTTGGATGTCCTTATAGTTGACGTTCCTTCGTATGTAATTTGAAGAATTTCCCAAGCTCTTTTTGCGGATTCACATGATGCTATTAGTTTAAATTGGTTATCATCCACACCACTAAAGATCGCGTTTAGGGCCCTTGAGTTGTAGTTTGCGAGTAGTATCTCTCCATCACTCCAATCTGCTTCTGGTTTAAATACTTCCACTTTATCTTCTCCTTTGATCGTGGGAGGTGTCCAACCAGTTATGATGGCGCGCCATGCTCTCTCATCTATGGATTTGATAAACATCTTCATTTTTTATTTCCAGTATGAGTAGTTGGAGCCGATTAGGAGAGGTGGACGAGTAGTTGAAGCTCCTTCTCGTTGGGTATTCATATCTGCACAAAATAAGAGTAATTAGTTACCAAAATCTCACTAGATGTATTTAGTGACAGGCTCTTGATGCCAATTGTTATAATTATTTCGTGCAAATTAATTATATATTTGTGTCCGATGAATTCCTGATTCAGTTTTAAATACCGTTTTACTGTTTTACGAAGAGTTGCAACAGTTAATGAAACAGTAATAAAAAGACACAAATTTTAAAGTGGTTCGGATACAATTGTACCCTACATCCACGGGGACCTGCAAATGAAATTTACTAATCTTTAGTTTTACGAATACAATAATAGGACTTAATCGAAATGCAAAGACTCCCTCTTTGTCGACGCCGTTCTTGTATACTACGCTGAATTATCAATCTTCACTTTGCAGCACGTCCTTGTTCCGCACGGTTGAAATTCCTTCAACGCTGAGTCCCTCAGTCGGTGGATCGACCTCCTCCCGAGATCTTCTGAGTTCTCCTCCCGAAGAACCGATCTTCTTTTCGCGTGAAAGAAGCAAGTCCTTTTTCTGTATTTTTCTTCTCGAATTAAGATCAAAAAGTCTGGAGGAGCAACGTAAGAGCAGAAAATAATTTTTCTCTCAAATAAAAGGGACGGCCTTCAAAGACGTTGATCCTCCTCTTTAAATACATCCTTAGTTGAATAGTAGAGCCCTACACAAGATTAGAGCCCATTAGGTTAGTTTTAATCTCACGTAAGGAAAAGAGAGTTGTGTAACAAGGAAAGTCTTTGTCAAGAAAATTCCTTGTTAACAAAACACTTAGGCAATTAAATAAATTAATGACAAAATAAGAGTTTAAAGAACTAAGGAAACTTCGCTAGTTTTTATACACGTTTTTCACAAACGTGCTGAAAAACCGAAATTAGAATCCTCTCGGATTCTAACAATATTCTTTTGTCAGGATCACTATTACACTTGCTAGTAGTTAAAAATATGTTCGGGGATACTTTGTTGCAGTCACTATTCATCTTATAAGTTTGAAATGTTTATTGTGAGTTTTTATTTATATATATTTTGCATGTTTTCTATTATTGATGTATTTTTTTCGCAAATAATATCAGCTCTTGGATATGAGTTTTAATGTATATTACAATGATACGTATGGTTTAAATATTCCCATATTTCTCAACCGTTGGAGTATATTCATGAAATCTTAATCCTATGTATCGAAGATTTGTTAATTACTATGTAATACGAGTAAAACTTTAGTTCAACTACTATAAGTTGCTGTGATTCCACATCGAGATAAGATGAGCAAAGGCATGAAAACTGCGAGGTCGGAAGGGGAAAGAGAAAGAGATTAACATTCATACGATTGGTCGAAACACGTGGAAGATTCTATTTCATCTGAATATTTTTTTGTAAGGATTCTATTCATGATACATGTGTTTAAGTACTTTGCTTGTGTAATCGTTGCCACATGTCAGTCAAATATCTGATTCAGTTAGCGACAACTGCACCATAAACATAAATGACAAATGTTGGAATGAAAAATAAACAATACATATAATATGGTTTATGATTTTTGAGCATATTTTGATCATACTACATGGGCTGACCATATTTGGAATTCATGAAATATTTTTTTTTCTTTCCCTTAATTCACACCCATATTTTAGCCCCCATCGAAAAGCCCCTACATCCGGCCTTGATAATACATGAACTATTCTAACCATGTCAATTGCGTTTGCGGTGGCGAAATGACTGCAAACAATGAAATAGTGATGTAGCCGAATTCGCTCAACAATCAACAAGATGAGAGTATACTTTCGATAATCGGAGTGATTTTTCTACAATTTCCGGTGAACGTACTGATTTGGGTGAAGAAAAACCGGTAGAGAAATTTCTAGCAGTTTTTTCACAGAAACTAAAAGGGAGGGGGGATCTGTATATTTTGTAGTATTTAAGGGAGGGTATTTTCGGAAAGTGGAAGCAGATGGGCTTTTTTGTAGGACTGTTTTTTGTCTGGATTGAAATGCAAATAAATAGCACTCAATGGGCCTATTTGCCATTCGCCCACAATTAATTAGGGCAAATGACAAGAAGGGACATGACAAGGGACTTAAACGCACATTGGTCCACAAAAAAAACAGCATTTCGAATAAACCCATCCCCATGTCTTTAGTCAAAAATACCCTCCATAATATAATTTTGGATAAATTACAACCACCCCCTGAGGTATGGTCAATTTACGAAAAAACCCCTCTTGTTTAAATAATTACATCTACCCCCTCAGCTATGATTTTTTCTCACACCTCCACCCTTATGCTCTCAAATTCAACATAATCATCTAGATTTCGTGAAATGTGCTCTAGTTTGTGCTCGTTTTGTGTAAAAATGCAGTTTGTGATGCACCACAATCTGATATATACAACCTTAAAATCACATATTTTATGATCATCTTTCTTTAAAATGTGGAGTTCGAATAGGATAAAACGGGTACAAAAGTGATAATAATCCATATAATCTCGAAAATTGCACGAAATTTGAAACCACAAGGGTGGACGTGTAAAAAGATTTATAGTTGAGGGGGGTGCCTGTAATTATCCAAACAAGAGGGGTTTTTTGGTAATTTGACCATACCTCAGGGGGGTGATTGTAATTTACCCTATATTTTTTGTCAATTCTATCCATTATGCTCTAACTTTCTTAATATTATACATTGACCACGGATTTAAACAAATATATCACATTAATTAACCCCTATTTTAATAATTTTTTGAAATTTTTTTTTTTCAGAAAATAATTTTTTTTCTGAATTTTTTCTTTCAGCCAAATTCCGGCGTTGACTTTTTTTTTTTTTTTTGAAAACTTTTTTTTCTTAAATTTTTTTTCGGCCAATCAATCGCCGTTGACTTTTTTGTTCGATTTTTTTTTTTTTGAAATTTTGTTTTTTCTAAGAAAATTTATTTTTATTAATATTACTGTCTTGGCTGCTAAATTACTGTCTCAGGCAGTAATATTACTGTTTGCGACAGTAATATCATGAATATTATTTTTCCGAACAGTAATATTACTAATATTATTGTTCGAAACAATAATATTATTGCATAAGACAGTAATATTACAGTCGGAAACAGTTATATTATAGTCCAGACAGCAAAAATGCAGGCCAAGACGATAAAATTAATTAATGAGGTAATATTATTGTCTCAGACAATTAAATTACTGTTGGAGACACTAACTTAGCAGCCAAGACAGCAATATTAATTAAAATATTTTTTCTTAAGAAAAAACAAAATTTCAAAAAAGAATTAAGAGTTAAATTACTGTCCCTGACAGTCAAATAACTGCTGGAGACAGTAATTTAGCGGTCAAGGCAGTAATATAAATTAAAATATTTTTTTGAAGAAAAAAAATAATTAACAGTTAAATTACTGTCTCCGACAGTTAAATAACTACTAGAGACATTAATTTAACAGCCAAGACAATAATATTAATTAAAATATTTTTTTAAGAAAAGAAAAAGTCAATTAACAGTTAAATTACTGTCTCCGATAGTTAAATAACTCCTGGAGACAATAATTTAGCACCCAAGACAGTAATATTAATTAAAATAGTTTTTTTAAGAAGAAACAAAATTTTAAAAAAAATTCAAAGAAAAAAAAAAAAGTCAACGTCGGAGACCGGCGATCTACGATGGCTGACCGGCGGTCTCCGGTAGTGGCCGGTCAAAACTGGGGTGAAAATTGAAATTATGGTTAAAATTCGTTAATTGGTGAAATTGGGCTAAATTGTGGTGTAAACCATGAAATTGGAGTTGAATTGAGTTTCAATGAATTGGGGGTAATTTTGGTATATATAAAAGGGTTTTCCTTATTTGTAAATAAGTTTGAATGAGTTGGAAATATTTGCAAGACAAAAAAGTTGGATGTCCCTTTTTGAATTAAGTGCCCTTGTCATGAGCCTATTTGTCATTCGCCCAATTAATAATGATGTAAAACTTTAGAATTATTTATCCGATCTATAATTAATTATAATTAGGCTAATAAATCTATTTAGATCTGTTGTAAAATGGGCTATTGATAACTCTTTGGTTTGTGATTGTGGAAATACATAAGAACATAATAACAATAATAGAGAGAGAATGAGAGAACACAAGTAAACAAGATCCGTAGAGAGATAATTGTGGGTTCAGTGGGGAGGGAGTGTTTCTCATTTATATAGGTGGTAATCACCGGGAAGTTAGATAGGAGTTACATGTGGAAGTTACGTAGAAGTTACATCGCCCCTAACACCATAAATAGATATGGGAAGTTAATAAAGTTGTGGGAAGTTGAAAACCATTAAGTGGTTATGTTAGGAAACCACACATTTCATACTATTTACAACACTCCCCCTTGGGTTCCTATCAAACCACTATTGTGCTTTTTGTGTTGCCTCGTTAAAACCTTCCGAGTCATAAAACCCATTGGGAAAAATAACAATCTCGGTTAGGGAAAAGAGTACAACGCACAATCTTTTCAATCAACAAATGTTGCCTCATTAAAACCTTGTCGAGTAACTAAAACCCTGTGGGAAAAATAAACCTCGCACGAAGGAAAAAGAGTACAACAGGGCACCCGGGTATCTTCTGGATACTGAGTACCTACAGGGTACTCCCCCTCAAATTAACTCCCCCTGATATGTACAAGGGAGTGAGCTCGGATAATCTACTCAACTTAATGCCTTAACATGTTTTCAAAAGTTGACTTTAGGCAAAACTTATTCTTAAAGTTGGAGCAGTTATCTCAAATTTTGATCTGCGGGATCATTATTTGTTTAGGCTATTGTTGTTGCTGATTGAAGAAAACTACAAAGTTATGTACATGGAGTTGTCACTTTAATGAAGCCCATCTTCATTTGCTTAATGCATACTGTATTACAGTAAAATACAATCTCGTAGGATCTTCTGTGTTAGTTAATTCACAGGAATCTCGAACATGCCTAATCATGGCTTCAGGCCATGTGCATTCACTCACTATCTCGTGAAACAAACATCATGCATGATTTGATCTAGTGACAACTGAGGTACATTTCATAGAACCCCAAGACATAGCTATTTTCCCAATACTAAACCATGGATTGGGAATGAGCTTTTTGTGGATATGACTTCTAGTCAATGCCAATATAAACCAC